CTATATGCCAACGGCCTGACAACGTCTAATTCTTCCCTCACCCTCGTCCCAGCCGGGAACCTAGCGCCCACTGCCACCCCCTCATCACCTATCACACTGCCGCTACCCCGCCGCCATCAGCCGCCAGGTCCTAATCCCTTCGCCAATAACACGGCGACCAAATCCACTAACACCACGATATCACTCATTCCTTCTACCGATAGGACGATGTCTGACGTCCTATCACCTGCTGCCAGCAGCCCCACCTCCAGCGATTTGGACTCGGTTCATACCTGTCCTAGTTGCGTTCGCACGCCCACCTCACACATCAGCCTGGTCAGTCACTTGCAAACCCATCGCACAAAGGCTGGTGATCCGGTGTCTGGAGTTCATACCCACACTCGCCACATCCACCTCAACTGCCCTTTCTGCCCCGCACATCCAGCCACTGCACGGGTCTACTAGGTCACGTGCGTACCCACAAGGACGTAAATCATTGCAGTCTTGACACGCTTGGCATACATCCCACACCCAGCATGCCTCGCCCCGTCCCCACCCCACTGCCCAGCGTGCCCACCATCGGCAGCTCCACCACCACTGCAACCAAAACCGACTATGACACTCCCGACCTATCCTGCCAGCGCTGGCATCGCACATTCGTCTAACACATCGGACTGGTCGGTCGCTTGCAAGTCCACCGCACAGAGACTGGCGAACCAGTGTTTGGAGCACCCAAAATACAATCACTGCGTCCGCCTCAACTGCCTACAATGACCTCGTACATTGATTTGCCGCACGGGCCTATTACGTTGCATGAACATTCATTAAAATCTGAAGTAGACAACTGCCGGCCATACCACATTGCCACACATCCCCCAACCAGCACTTTAACCAGACAAGAACATTACCCACCGCAAGTGTTGTGTGTGTTTCTCGGATACTTCTCCATGCGGCTACTCTGCTGCATTTGTGATCCGAGTCCGAGACCACCACGATGCGCCATGCGCCGTGGCTTGGAAGTTTTGGGAGTGCCTACACTCCCAAAATCAAGAGCCAGCCAATCACGGGAGGCCACGTGCGTTTTCTCTACTGCGCTGTCATCTTAATCGTGGCGGCTCTCCATTGGCTTTTCCTCTCGGGCCTGATCGATCTGCATACTCTAATAATCGACCGGCTCGTCTGGAATGTTCTTCCCGAAGGGCATTGGGCCGAATGCGTGCGAAGCACAGTAGGGCGTTAAAAATATGCATTACATCCAGATAATTTTGACTTGCAATTTCCTAATACGCATTTTCGTGGCCGGTCGCGTTTTCCTTCTCTGCCGCGTTGGTATTGGAGACAAGGGTCGAGTTCGTATACGCTCCACGGTATTCAAGTACCAGGCCGGGTCATAACAGGAAGGCCTCTGATTGGCGCGTCAACTCAGCCTACGCAGTCTGTCCAGTTGTATGTGTTTGTGTGGAGTGGTTGACCAATGGGATGAGAGTCAGACTGTCACAGTTCCTTCTTAAATTCCCCTATGGCGCTCTAACGCTTGTGACGAGAGTGTCTGCACTTTCCTGGAAGTGTCTCTCAGATAACGACTGACTGGTTGCCCGGCCCTTGAAGGGTGATTACCCAGACTAAGAGCAGGGCTGCGTCTTACCCTTTTGAACTTGAAGCGATGTGAGCGTCTGTTATACCTGATCAACAAACAATGGCTCTCGCAGCCTGGTGTGGTCTTGCAGTTCTCTGGCACCAACTTGTACCCTGGTAGATGTGCTTGCGTTCCCCTGGGAAAACACGTCGTGCGCATGGTTGCCTGGTCATCTCCGCCTTTCTGACCCGTCTATATTGTTACTGATTAAAATCTTGGTCAAGTATTTGTTGTGAACCAGGGGATGCGGTGGCAAGCCTAGGTGCGGGTCTGGCCGTCACAGCCACCTGCACCACGTCTCACCTCCGGCTTTCTTGATTATGCCTTACACTGGGCTCGGGTAGGGTCTGACACCACCAAGCATCCGCATGCTCCAACCCAAAATTCGCGGAGAATTTACCCCGCTCCTCCACATGCCTTCTTGAACGATGATCTTCGCTGGTTTAATGTAATCTCCCCACTTCAATCCGTAGCGATCTGTGGACGATCACGACAGATGATTCTTCTTTCGTCACCTTCTAGTGGTTTGGTCGGTCAACGAAGCAGTATTTTAGTCGCATCTTCCCGTGCTTTGACGACACCCGCAGCCTTAAATATTCCCTCCTCTTCTTGACACTAAGCGAACTGTGACCGTTCGCGTTTGGTGTCTCCTGCTTCGCCACCTTGACGATTACACCTGCTGTCAACCCAAAAATATAAAATTCTCATTTGCTGTGAGGAGCCTTACCAAGTTTGGGAATTAAACCTTGACGAGGACCGTTTTGAATCCCTTGTAACTCTTACCTGCGGGACGGTCCTGTCCGACGCGCGTGCCTGTCATCCCATAAGCGACAGTTTTTCTCCTTAAAAACTTGTAAAATGACCTTCATCTTTTCGAAAAGGGCAAAATGGACGAGTTTTTGTTCTATTCACTGACAGTTTTTCATATCAGACTGTCTATTTTATAAGCAGGAACAGAGCACTGTACAACGTCCGCCTACTTGTTCTAAAATCCACTTATAAGTTTATTTTTACTTACAACGAAAGTATGTTTAGGGGTACTGAATAAAATAATTTGTGTATTGGTTTGCCACTATGGCCTTAAAAGTGGTCGACCCTGCCTCACTAGGCAGCTCACATTCATGGAAAGCTGGACAAAATCGTTATAATTGGCTTCGTTAGTAGATGGAATCTGCATCGACAAAGCAAAGCCTTGGACAGGATTCCACAAAAATAGCCAATATATAAATTGCATCAAACGTGTGTCATCGGCAGCTTTATCGAGCGGTTGACCGACTTTCCCACAAGCAACTGTCGGCGTACTTGTATTAGTGACGCCGAATCGAGTGGGAAACCGTTTGCAGTGGGGTTCGGCTGAGCAGTGTTTTGGGTTCCGTTCTCCTTTTGATATACTTGGATGACTGCTGATTGCCTGACTTGTGGGAACATAGTGTGTGCCGATGACCTGAAGGTATGAAGTTCAATAGAAAAGCCAGAAGATGCGCTGAGCTTGCAAAATGACTTGAGTCCATTGCAACAGTGATGCGACAAGGAGCTACTTAACCTCATTTTTAGCAGATGTCAAGTCACTCAACTACTGTCTCGTTAAAGGAAGATAATGGGATCTGAATATCAGTATTTCATCGGAGGTCACCAACTCAAGCCACCAAAGAAATAGAAGGACACAGGTGTATGGATGACATCTACTCCCAAACCTTTGCCGCACTGCACCATGATAACAAAGAAGGGTACGTGTATCCTGGGAGCTATCAAAATATTCTTTCTTAGCTTTGACGAAGAGCTTTTCGGTCACGTTTTTGGAAGATCTATCCTACCGGTGTTAAAAAATTTCGTTCAGGTGAGGCGCCTCGGAATGAAGCAAAACTACAGTATTTTGGGGAGAGTTCAGCAGATGGCGGCCAAATTGGTCGACGGACTGAAATGCCTATTTTATGAAGGTCGACTAGAAAGTCCCAAAACTTTTCCTCCCTCTCAAAGGCATTATAGAGGGGATATAATCATTTTCCAGTTTATTTGGTAAGGATAATAGGCAAAGCCTTCGAAAATCCTATTGATTACATGCCAGTACGTTATATACAACTGTACACGAATAATGGAAATTGTCGCTATTAAAATAGTACTTTCGTGATTTACGTACCACCATTTTATAAGACTACTTTCTGGGGTTCACGGGGTATTTAGCCCAGGTTCAGACTATCGAAGGAAAACAGGAGACACAAGCAATCATCAAAGCTGTTATTAAAGAGCTTCAGGAATCTTGCCTCCACAACTGTTAGAGGAGATCATTTCATTTCTTTCCTACCCTTTGTGTAAAAGACTCAGAGCAAAGGTTCAGCCTGGACATTCTGGTGCATAGCTTAATGGAGTGGCCACTGAAAAATTGAAACTGGGAAAAACTGCCATATCCAGTTGTTTCGGCGGAAAGGGTTCGGACACATAAAGAATATATGATGGCACTTTACTTGATGGCCATTTATTCACTTGACAAACATATGCGATTTTTTTCTCGCGCAAAGTGTGTTTTCGAGGGTTCCGCCTCTTTCCCTTATACATACTGAACCCAAGGAAGATCGAAAAGCAGTTTTTCGAGTTTTCATCTGGGACGTTCTGATAGTTTGAGTCGGCAGTGATGCAGAACGTGACGATGGAAAGGCCGCTATCTGGCCATTAATAACTCTGATTATTATGGAGACACTTAGACACACCTTCCCAGTCATTCATATCAATAATAATATCCTTTATGTCATAATTCAGTAAAATTTTTAACATGTGTCTTTAAACCCCTAGCAAGCAGCTATCTGTTGTACATCATTGAAACCCCGTGGCATACTATGGATCTTTCAACTTCATTTCTATTAAAGCTACTAATACAACAAACTAAGCATACTAAATGTGATATTAACATAGTATATGAAAAGTTTTGGTGGTGAGAATCGAAGATCGCAAATAAGTAAACCCAAATTCCTTTTGCGACGACCAACAGCACAAGCCAAAGGGGAATTCCCAAATATCGAAAATTTCTCCCTTGATGCATTGGTTTGGATTAACCATTTAGGTTTCCTCAAGACCTGCTCCGGGTATCAATATGAGATAGACTCCAGAACGCTGTTTAGATTGCAAGTCCGCCAATACATAATGTATCCCCTTCTATGCCTTAAGTTCTACTAATGATGTACATTATCTTACTTTAGGTGGGCATTTGAGAGGTTGTCTCGGATTTTAACAGTTGAACGTTCTAAGAATATTTTCAATTGATTGGGCTAAATGGACTAACTATGATAACTTTCAAATAAGCACATTAAACACAGTACTTACTTTTAATGCGCTGAATGTGTTTTGTATATTTCCACTCAGAGGCTATTTGGCCGGTGTGCCTGGGGTACGCATGCTTCATGAGCTCCTATTCGCTCTTAACGGATTTCCTGGCGATATATGCACTTATTTCGACAAAACCGAATCTTCTGCTGACCGGAAGGGTCTCCGACTCCTTTCGGATCGCCTGCCCTTCATCACTCCTAGCGAGACCCTCCTTGTGTCACAACTCCTACTTCTCGCGGAGGACTATATTAAACTCAAAAATTTTATCGACCGTTTTAAGATCCCACATGCCAGTCTCTACATAACTGCCTTGGCACGCGGTCTTGACAATATTCTTGAAGATTACCGATCAACATTGTGCAATGTCGAGCAAAGCCTCCTATCTGATGCCAGTTGCGGACTCACCTTCATATTTGCTAAGGTTTACTCCTTTAAACCCCTCTTATCTTCACTGGCTACGCTTCTTGAAAAGGTTATGCGCCAAATCGCACCTGAAAGCACAAAAACGTCTTCAAAGCAGTGTTTGCTTGACATAATCATACAAGTTGCAAACACTAGTTTTCCATCCTTAAAACCAATTTTTCGTCATCTGGCTGCTTGTCAGATGCGGGTGCTGTACAGCCAGCTATCCGGGTGGCTCCTTTACGGTGTTCTCGTGGATCCTTTTGGGGAATTTTTCGTTCAACCCTTTAGCCGGGGTCTGGACTCTGACACGGCACAGCGTAGTCAAACCACGGATCTGTCACCAGACGAGAGGCCTACCTCAGACATTACCGAGGTACCCGCTGAGCGTCGTTTTGAGCTTTGTACTCGCAATCTGCCCTCTATCATATCGCCGTCCATGGCGAATGATGTCCTTTATGCCGGCCAAGTCGTCAGTTCCTTCGCCAAACTGACAGGGGATTCCAGTCCTTCCAAGTGTTCACTTTCGATTTCGCTGGGCGATAATTTTTCCGAAAAATTTGCCCAACAGGCACGAAATCTATTTTGCCCTGCTATGCCGGAGGACGCACCGCTTGTGGATATCGACAGTCTGCAGTCAATGCTTCATGACATCTTGCTTTTTATATCAACTCAGGTTCATGAGCGAATGTTCAAAGAGTGCGATCTTCCCCATCATTTGAATATGCTAAGGGATATTTTACTGATGGGCAGAGGTGAACTGTTTTTGACATTCTTTGACAACCTTCGTCGGGAAGTAGATAGCGAGTTCAGCATGACCATTGCTCTGCATAGGAATTACAAACGCTCAGGAAATTACATGAATCGCGATCTGCTCGACCGACCAACACCGTCAAGTATCCTCGAAGCTCAGGGTCTAACTCACGCAGTGAACCGGGCTTTTTTGACCGCTGCCAGAGCTGTAGGACTGAACGACGAAGAACTGGAGAAAAGATTCAGGCAAGTACACTTTAATAGTGTCCAAATTCATCCACTAATTTGAAAAGGTTTGCTTTGAGTAATTACTCGTATTATGAGTTGTGGAAACCTTATTTGGGATAGATTAGCAGCAGGGCTTCTAGGTAGCAAACTTTCTACCTGTTCTAATCCCCAATTGCTCATAATCTGCCTTAGCACTCTTTCAAGACGAAAACTGAAATTCTCCGAAAACTCGGGTGTCGAACATATTCGTTCCGACCAAGTCTGGACAACATCCACTTCCCACTGCACAACTACTAGTATGTTCGCTATACTTTTCAGGCGTAGATATTCCCCAAACTGCTAATATGTGGTCGTCACTCGTTGGCGGACCACTAGGTGTCGCGCAATTCATTTAGGTCTTTTGGCCACTTCGGCCTCCGCATTAGTCGAACTCGGGTTGGAGGATGTTTATCAATGAGTTGGTTTTTATGCCCCCAAATCGATCTTGAAATTAGCCTCGATTGGAAGAGAACACCGTGACTGAGAAATGTCGCTCTATGTTGCCCTAAGAGCTATTTTATTCCCATTGCGTTTAGTAATTCCAGACAGAACTCGTGACGGAATTGATAACAGGAGGATCCACTGATGGCAAAACTCGCAGATGCATTCTGCATCTACAGAAAATTCGATAAACCCTTGGATATATGGATAGTACATAAACTGTGTGGTAAAAGGGCATTATAGGGCTGTCACTTGTCTCCTGGGCGTCACAACCCAGTCTTGCGCTTCCTGGTACTACTTGTCTGCTTACTCTCCAGAAGTCGCCTATCAAGCCTATTTGGTTTGAATTGATCAGACTTATTTGATAAAAAGTTGTTGAGTTGCTTGATGTTTTCTTAGAAAATTACTGCCCAGCTACATATGCTTGGCCGCTTAAATGGTCCGAATGATCCCCGTGCTTCCTTACGCATAGTTAAATTCCATTGATTTAGATACAAGTTCCATCATGCCTAATGTAGTCGGCCTCATTTCAAGACTGCTTGGAAGTTGTCTTCTTTAACGTTTCGGCTCATTGGTTTCCAGCATCAAAGCAACAGTGATAGACGAACCTACTTGGTGGTGGTTCACGTTTGCCTTGCCGCAGTGCCATCTTTGAGTTTTGTGGTATTTTATATGGCGGCGGGTGTACAGACCTCAGCCATCCGCGCCTGGGTAGCACCGGTGCTTCTGGTCCACGACTACTTCTTTACCAGGTGTACATATCTGCAGATTTCCTAGTTGGTCCCCACTAAAGACCTTCAACCATCCGTTGCTCCCGGACTCATTGGGTAGTCAGCGATTAGCCTAACGACCAGATCCGTATCTTCGGTCATTACAATACAGCATTATTTCGTTCCAAACTCATTTTCTTTAAATAATGCCTACCGGCACCTCAGAAACATCAGTTTTTATTCAACTGGCATTGAAGAGGCAGTTCGTCTTATTAGCCAAGCGGACCTGAACCCATTATCGAAAGCAAATTAGAGCTTATACCTTGCTATTCATTATGACAGCCGATAGCTCTAACCGCAGCTCCACAGGCGCTAGTTTGTTAGACTGATGCCAATGTATTATTATGCATTGCCTCGAGGTTGTGTACCTGAATCTAGGGCGCTTGGTATTCTTGTTGCACACGACAGTTCGACCGTCTGTTGCCGACGATGTCCACCGTGTGCTCCACAGCAAGAAGAGAGCAGGCACGGTAACTTGCGTGTGATTTAGTTTATGGCGAGGATAGACTTGCGCAGCATCTACCGCACTTTCTCCTCATTCCCCACCTGGGCCCGGTGCCAAGGCATAGTCAAAGTGGTCGGAGGCGAGACAGGGCGTAGGTGGCTGGGACGACCGGACCCGGCGGTGCAGCGTCAGAGCTGGTCATCGGGGAAGGGGCGTAGACGCTGACGATAGTGACGAATTTGCCACCCCGGAGGGACAGGCGAGGGCTCATCAGGCGATCGTTGATGCCCTGCGGCAGACAGGGAAGTCATCCCACAATGTGGTTCCGGAAGGCAAGGTTGACGTCGGCCTCTCGTCGCTCTGCCTCTGGATGGCCGCTCTAGATGAATAGGTAGTCGGCGCCCACCTTCTCCAGTTGGCTTTGGTCAGAGAACCGGGTCTCGCTGAGTGCAGCGATAGGGAAGACTACCTTGAACAAATGATCAGAGCGGCTGTTAGGGGTCCGACTGTACTCATAATTACCAATAAATCTCTTGAAAATGTGTCCGAATGCAGTGTTACGATCTATGTTACGTCGTCCGCGGTAACCGACGCGCACCGCAACCCTGGTCCAGTAATGCGGGCGAATAGTATGCGAACTGGGCTGATCAGTAGAGGATGGACCCTAGATATTGGGTGCTGGAATGTGCGAACGTTCCTTGACCCCTGTACCCAAAATCTGACCGCGCGCATCCGTAATCAGTACAACGTGGATGTCTACTGTCTGTCTGACGTTCGACTTCCTGGCTCAGGCTCTCGAGAAATAAAGATCCCTGGAGTCGACTCACACTTCATCCCGTACCACAGCGGTCCACGCGACTTCTAGTAGACACGGTGTGGCGATCGCACTCTCGCAATAAGCGGACTTCGCTTTACTTGCTTAGAAACCAGTCAATGACCGGATGACTTACGTGCGACTGAAGGGTCACTTCACGAACATCTCCATTGTCCCTGTGTACGTACCAACTTCAGCTGCCGGACATCACAATAAAGAGGCGTTTTACTCTCAGCTGAAAGTGTTAGTTGAAAGACTCCCTCGTCGCGATCTACTGATTGTTGCCGGGGTTCGAATGGTCGGACTGGGCCTGGTGACTCCACAAACAGTCATATTCTTGACCGCTTTGGGATTGGTTCCCGATGCGAAAATGGCGAGAGATTGCTGAACCTCGCTGATAAGAACCGACTGCTTGTCACCAACACGTGCTTCCAGCATCGCCGCAAACATCTGCTGACCTGGTACTCAAACGATGGTCATACGGCCAGTCAGTTCGATTACATACTAGTCAGCTCAGAGTTACGCAGTTGGGTTCGTGATAGTAGATCAATGCGGGATGCCGAGACTGATAACGCCCATGGGTCGGACCATGTTCTCGTTTACACACGCATTAAAGTTCACCTCTCATCCACGCCCAAAATGCCAGGTTATAGACGCCTTGATGTCGCAAAAATCCGGCAACCTAACACTGCCGTGGCCGTGAGCAGAGAAATCTGGTCCTCTCTCACGACCCGAATCAACGGAGAAGGGAATAACCAGTGGTCTTCACTGAAAACATCAGTCAATGGAACGACTGAGAAGATTCTTGGATGTACTCAGCGGCGCCGAAGTGATTAGATCAGCCGAAAAACCCTGAAGTTGTCTGCACAGACGGCATGAGCCACTTTTCGTAATAGTGATTCGTTCCGCTAACTCTGGAAAATGGCGGCAAAGTCGACTAGGGATGGTCGGAAGAGATATTGGGTAGAAACAGGGACCTCCATAAAACAGGCCTCGAGCGTTGATGACACCCGAAAACTGAACCAAATTATCCGCCAAGTTAATGGTAAGCCTTCGACACTGAGCGACTTTGTTCGCGATGCGGACACTGCTTTACTGCTGACAATTTAGCCAAGATTGATCACTAGCGCGAGTACTTCGAGCACAATCTCAGCTTTGGTGAGCAACCCATCACACCCTCGCTGTCATCAGCAGCGGAGTTTTCTTCCTCTCCAACCTATGCTGTGTCATGCGACTTGCCTTAAGAAGTCGCTGGTGCAATACAAAGACTGCGCAACAGCAAGGCACCCGGAGAGGACGGTATCGCCGCTGAAATCTACAAGTCTTTTGTCGACATTCTGGCGTCCTGGCTTCACGAGGTGATTGCGCAAGTGTAGAGATGAGGCCGTTCCTGATGACTGGGGCTCGGACATCCTTGCGCCAGCCTTCAAGAAGGGTGGTAAAACAAGGCGCGAGAACTACCGCGACGTAAGCCTCATCGACGTTGCTGCGAAGATCTTAGCCGTTGTTCTTAGGCGATTCCAGGCCGTACGTGACTCTAGAACGAGGCCCAACCAAGCCGGATTCGGAGGTGGGCGTGGACGTGCCAACCAGATATTCGCACTGAGGCGCATTCGGGAATTTCGTTAAACCGACGACAGACAGCCGCCTGTTTTGTTGACTTCGCCGTTGCGTTTGATTACCATTACCGTGAGTCCCTGTAGCGAATAATGGGGCTGGATGGTGTCCCGCCTAAAATCATCGCCATAATCAAGGCCTATTACCGCTCAACCACCGCGCGAGTTCTAGTCCATAGCAGTCTCTCCCAGCCGTTTGATATTCAGTCTGGCGGGTTCGGCAAGGTTGTATCTTGTCGCCCATTCTGTTCAACTACGCCATTGATTGGAGTCTGGGGGACGCCCTACACAAAGTTGACGGTATTGAGTTTGTAACCGGCCGCCGGCTAACTGATCTTGACTATGCTGATGCTATCGCTTTGCTAGCTTCAAACTTTGGCGACCTACGGTCTATGGTGTCGCGGGTGGATAAGGTCACTCAATCTGTCGGTTCATCCACAAACATTGCGACGACCAGTGTTTTCAAGCTGCATCTCTGACCGAGAGAAGAAACGTCGAAATTAGTGACTACCGAGTCAATGCTGCTCGCTGGATTTCTTCATACCCTTGGAAGTGTCTTTGGATCCGAAGCGATCTCTCCATCGCCACGAAAATTCGCTTGTACCATGCATCCGTCCTGCCAGTCTTTATGTACGGTTGTGAATGTTGGGCTGTGCGCGTAAAAGATGAGCCACATCTGGTGGTATTTGGTCACGACTGCATGAGGACCGTCCTTCGAGTGGAGTACACCGACTTCGTCTTGAATGAGACAGTGGGCACTCACCGCGACAACTCCGCAAGGATCTCGCAGGTCATTCAAGAAAGACGACCGCAGTGGTTTATACATGTTTTTCGTCGTTCACCTTGCGAGTTCAGTGTTGCTGCCCCTCTACCCGGCACCCTTACCCACTTGGAGGCGTCGAGGAGGGAGGGGGACGGTCAACTCAAAATTTGGCTCGACAAAGTCCGTCACGACCTGGAAGTGGTTCCTGAAACTTCGGTATTTGGTCTCCGTCGTTGGCGAAAAAAATGGGTTGAGCTGCCGGAGTCACACCAAGTACAAGTTCGAATGAGTAGCGAGACATGTTGGTTCCCAGCCGGTTTGCCATCTCTGCATCGACCTCGGTAGTATTGTATTCGGTTGTATCTGAAGCATCATTACATGGCATGGCATATCTCCTCATTTCTTTTAGCGGATTCTTCTAAGAGACTTTTTATAACCATCAAAGATAACTTGGTCTCGAAGTTGTCGGGTCTTCTTTGTCTTTTTGATGGCCGGAGTAGGCCTAGGACAGTTTGAGGAGTCTTCACACATTTTCGTAGCAAAGAATCGGTTGCCCTCCGAGTGTTTATAGCTGGGACGTCTCGTTTTCCGTTCCTCCTGCAGGTTTTCTCTTTCTACCAACCCAGTTCCGCATTGCTTCTCTCCCGACACTGAGTCTCCAGTAGCATGGGACTGTCTCCAGGTCCACTACTCTCCGCCACCAGGATTGGAAACAGTTTTCAACCCGTCGGCCTGCGAGACCTACACCCGCCTTTTCCAATTCCTCCTAACGCTTCGCAGAACTGAGCAGGATCTCCATCAATACTGGGCTCGAGAGACAACTGGCCGGAGGGCGAACCGTTATGTTCGACCCCCAGTGCTCTCGCCGAAGACGGCTGACGAGGGAACTGACAGCACAGACCAACATCTGTTGGTGGTGAACCAAATGGCCTTCATCGTCGACCACTTGAATTGCTATCTCCAAGTTCGTTCCAGAATCTGTCGTCTGTTTATTTTTTAGCAGCAGCCTTCTACACAGTTCACCTGCATAGCCTCATTTCCCAAATAACCTTATGCATTTTTGGTGACTAGCCGTTGTCAACCAGGTTATATCCGGTTGAAGGAGGAACACCAGGTAGCTAGGTGATGCAATAGGCCTATAGAATCAAAAGCACAAGTCTGCAATTGGACGACTATGCCCGTCCAACCAACTGGTCCATGTGGTCTCCACATCCGGGTTTCGGCACTGCTGACATATATTAGCGGCACTTTTATTAGGCTCGAGTTTTTTGGACTTTGAAGCCTTTGTGACCAGTCTTCAACCTTGCATTGGGGCCAGTCCACCATCCACCGGTCTTAGCCGCACAGAGGAATTGCATATGACCTTCTTTGCTCTCAGAGAGTTTTAACAGACTCAGAACAAGTTGTCCAGCTCACATCCGCTCAGTCTACTGCGCATGCCACGGGTTTTCTAATTCCACCTTTCCTCGGCGATCATAAAAACGAGGGGCTGGGTGTGTATGGCAGCGCTCCGGTGTTGGTAGCATTGCCAGGTATGTCTGCTGATAGGTTAGCTCACTCAGAGAGATAAGGTAAACAAACGCAGTATATCACTACCGACAATGACAAGGGAGACTGGAATGACCATTTTTAGCTTATTAGCCGTTGTCAGTCATTCATACTTAACCCTCAAGGGCGTAACACCTGGGGCTCGATCTCACAACCTGCTGGTTAGAAGTCCAAAGCCTCTAACCATTGAGCCATGCCCCCGTTGTCCTGTCGGTTGTGATCGGGTATACACAGTGCTAGGGGGGCGCTCACCGATCGCGTTACGCAACCCACTCGTCTCGTTGTACCCTGGCAGTCTCCCTCGGGCCCCACCAGCAGCCGCACAGCGGCGCGTAATATAGGCAGAATAGCATTGCCGATAGGACAACGAGCGCGTGGATCCCAACTTGCACTTTGCTGTGGATTTCGGAATCGCCAAAATCAGCACCGTTGATTGCCGATACTGGCGTAAGTACAGCCAAATTGCAATCAAGCGAAGACACGTCGTCCTGCCGTCTGACCTAAATAAACATTTTAGGGAAGAAGGGTCCTCCGGGCAAAAGTATGAGGCCAGCACTAAGGGTCGTGGCCCATTCTCATAGGCCAAGACCAAGAACTCAAGTCCGATATGTGCCGCAGTTGTCTATGAAAATGGTTCCTGCGCCGAAGACTAAAAGTGGCCTCGAAACAGGTTTCTGTGTCCTATCTTGTTATGCACTGGTTTCAGCCGTAAGGCCTTTCCAAATTAACTGACTCAATCCTCGCCAACTCTAATTTGTCATTAGAAGATAAAGAACGCCAGAAGGAGACACTTTTCCTGCCCAGAAACCTTAGATGCCCTCAGGGTGCAGTGGCTGCTGGCGATATCGAGGCGTGTTCTAGCCGAGTAACTTCATGTCTGCGAGTGTGGGTCTGGGGTTTTTCGTAGTTTCTCAGGGATTGGTAGCTGAATTAGACATCCTGTGTTGAATTACCCAGGGTACCCGAGACAGTCGGTCGAATTCGCTGGCAGTCGACTCAACCGTTTGGTCAGCGCACCTGCCAGATTGGAACGTGTTGGTTGGCATGATGTGGCCTTTTAACAGGAACTCCGGCGGGGGGGGGGGTAAATGAGAGTGAGTGCATGTGCTCAAGCAATGAAACAGGAGTTAGGCGGTGCCGTGCCAATAATCAGCTACAGCTTATTTCTGAACCTGAGGAGTTAGCCAGATAACACCCAAAGATTCGAGTCTGCTTGCGGCTCTTGATAGGATTCTTCTTACTCTTCTCCCTCTCGCCTACAGGTGGATGTCATTGCGGCACAGTTTGATCGACTGATGCGAGGCCTGCAGGATCAACAGCTGCTGGGCTCCGTGGAGGCACTGCATGAGACATACCTAGCGGGTCTACAGGCCCAGGCCTTCCTTCTGCACCCTATTGTGAACCCCTGTCTGATTCGCCTCCTGGCTGTTTGCCGCAAATTTGTGCGTCTAAATCAGCAGCCAGTACCAGCGGTACCAGGCGCTGATGGGGATGCAGGAGATGGTCACCTCAGCGGCGGCGGCGGCGGCGACGGTGTCCTGTCGCCCTGGACGGTGCTGCGTGCGGAATTCGAGCACCTGGCCTTTGTACTCTTCACCAGTCTGTCCAGCGCTCGCACCACCTCCAGTCGGGGCATCGGAATGGGCATCCCGGCTTCCACTGGGGGCGGCAGTTGCAACAGCCAGACGGGAGGCCATTTGGCCCAGCTCCTTTTGAGACTGGATTTTAACCGGTTTTTCGGTAGATTTGCTTCTGAGGGAAGTTGAACTGCCACACGCGCCTGCTCCTGCCGACTGGAATTGCGGTCTTTAAATGCATTTATTACCTCGCCTTTGCTTGCATTTCTTATTGTGCACTTACGAGCGCAACGTTCTTAACCTTATTACATTCCAGTCTTGACACCCTTTTTTACTCCCCAAGTCTTTGCACGATCTCTTGTGTGCACACACACACACAGACAGATGCCTATTAAATTTGTTGTATTTAACGCATCTCAGTCTTATAACCTTGCATCAGCATCCCGTGACACGTGGCGTCCGGGGGCTTAATCTAGAGTCCCCACAGGCAATTGCATAGCGATCAGTGGTTGGTCTTCCAGGTTCCTGGGGTAGAGTTTGGTGTAGGGACGGTGAAGGCCATCTTGGGCGCTAGAGGAGATAGTTCACAGTAGGAACTTGCTGAACAGCACCTTTCCGACATGTTTGAGACTCCCCCCCCTTCTAATCAAGATTTTGCACCACACAGTTCAAATGCTTTGATTCGTTGCTTGTGTTAGCTCCCAATTTCGCAAATTATTGAAGTGAGAAATAGTCCGGACATGCGCAGTTAGAACCGTTGGCGGGACCCACCGGCATAACAAGTGTTCGACAGGGTTCGCCTTATGCCTTGGGTCACGACATACAGCCAACGATGAGACTGCCGGCGACACATACGCAAGTGATGTCTTTTGTGGGAAGAGTGGACGCGAACTAGGCCATGCCGGTGGCATCCATTTTACCGAGTCCTGTTCAGTACAGCAGGCGGGCTAACTCATGAACTGTTAACTGAAATTCCGTAATGCGCGTTGGTTTCGAAAATATTAATTAAACAGGCTTGTAAAACTAATCATCTTGCAGCATAATTCTGTAATAATTCAGTTACCTTAGGATGCCGACTTTCGAACAAGGTCCTTTCTGGCTGCATGCAAAAACTACTCTGTAAAAAATGACCACTTTTGTAGCGTGCATTTTTCTCGTTGATTTTTGATGACCTTAAAAATTCAATTATATTTCATGGAGAATATGCATAAAAATATTTATTATTTTGCTCATTCGGTAGAAAATTGCGTCTTCTTCCAATTTTATACTCTGAGGAAGGGTATAATTCGGTTTTCAAAACTTCCTATTCGCGAATAATTTGGAACCCGACCTGCCGTTATACATGAATTCGGGGTTCCCAAACTGCAAGTCGTATATTTTCCATATACGGAAAACCATACGTTTGTCTACGGCATTAAGAGGCGACTATATGGGGTTAATAAAATTTAGCGGTGAATTGGAGCCATATTGTTAACTTTACAAGCCACATTGGTAAATGCAGAGGCACGACATTTTATGAGCGGTCATTTCACGGTATTAAAAATCTCACAATTAGAAACTTTTTAAAAACCGAATTATACCCTTCCATCGGGTATAAAATTGTAAGGAGACGTCATTTTCTACCGAATGAGCAAGAGAATGAATATTCTTATGCGCGTTTTCTATGAAATATAATTGAATGTTTAAGTGCATCGAAAATCGATGAGAAAAGTGCATGCTACATAAGTAGTCATTTTTGCTGAGTATAGTTTTTGCGCGCAGTCGGAAAGAAGTTCATTCGAAAGCCAACATCTCGAAGTAAGTGAATTGTTATAGAATTATGCTGCAAGATGATTAATGTTACAGCTCTACTTAATTAACTTTACGGAAACGAAAACGCATTTAGGTTGACATTTCACGAGTTAGCTCACCTACTGTAGATACATCGCTACATACGGTTACTGCTTCGAAATAATTTTGTTAGCGAGTGCGGTGTTGTTAGGGCGTGCCCAACACAGAATGTCCTTTGCGGTCATATTCAAACAAACATTGCGTTGTACTTATAGAAGCTTAGCGCACTCAATTGTTACGCCAATATGAACGTGGTTCATTGAGGCAAGAGCATGCCGGTGCCTCCCCCAGAGATCGCTTGAAAACGGACCCGTCTGTCACATGTGCTGTCGCTGCAGGCATATTAAAAGACCAGAATGAGCGGACGCCGCTCTGATTGGCGTCTCTTGGTCAGGTTGGTGCTATGCAAGTCTCGCTCACCACGAACCAACTTAATTCGCGAGTCACTACTGCGTCCTCGGGTTGGTGAGGTGTCACACCGATGACGATGAATCACTGCCCGGTCGCAACCGTCGGTTGAGGACACGAAGAGGTCTGGCACAACCCTTGCCCTATTTTCCCCCGTCCTTGTTGGTCTGTGTCCTATAGATGAGCCTCCGGTCTGATTTACCGGCGCCTCCTGGAGATAAAAAAAAAGAGCCACGAGGTTCGGAGGATCCTCTTTAAGAGTGCTTCCCTACTCGAGCAAGGCTTGGAAGAGTAGCGTGGTCGGCGCATTCAGCGTACGCAAAAATAGGGTGTATTTATAACCAAATGCAAATAATGACGTGACTGTACAATATGGCGTAGGATCTTGCGTTCCCGCGTGTGCGCGCGCTCTCCCTCTTCATCCGGGCGCAGAGCTTCAAAGATACAAACTGGCAGCGAAGACGATGTCACGTTTGATCTTCTCGATGGCTGAAACGGACAAAGGCGAGAGACAGGGCAGGGTAAACCATTTGGTAGAGGCAGTTGGTGTGGGAACAAAGGCTGCAGGCAGAAAGACGTTGATCTGGGGAGACAGAACTACGACCCAGAGAGGTAGTACAGTAAACCTTCGCTGCACTGCGCTTCGACTTTCGCGGCTTCGCTCTATCGCGGGTTTCTGCGGACGATGCTCCTCTTAGTTTCCGGCGCACGATACCTCAGTTGGCTTTACACACGCGGCGTTATTGGTGGACGGCTGATAAGCTACTCAATCAGGGTACGCGGTGAACGCAGTGTTCGCATCACAGAAATATGATCCCATCATTAAAGGAAAAATCACTATATATATGATATAACTGAGTAAAGTAAGAAAGACGAGTATACTAGTGGAAATACACAATCCGTACTTACAGAAGTTCAACGAATCTTACTTAATATTGAAGGCAATATAGAAGGTTTAGGCTGTATAACTGGTCGAAGTGGAAGTGGCCTTCACAGCAACGAGTGAAGAGTATGCTGGGTGTGCGTTTACTAATCGGGTTACGGGACGCGCAAGTACCGTTGTGCTTTCGAGCTCGATCTAAAGCCCCGCAGGCAAAAGGAAATTACCGACAAAGATAACGGAGACTGGGATGGCCGTCTCTGGCTTATTAACCGTTGTCAGTCAGTCTTGCCGGAGTCCAGGTTTTACAGCACCTCAACCTCGATCCCGCGTTCTTTGTTCACCGAGCCACACTAAGTCCAGTAGAGCCAATTGTTGGAAATTTTGTGCGTATGATGAAAGTCAGTTGCGGTCAAAATCTTTGAAAACGAAATACAAAATCCAAGATAAAACGCAAGTGGTGCCCCGTTTCACGGGGGCGTGGCGTTCAGTCTTGCCAGTCTAGACGTCATGCAGATGGAGGCATAGTGATGGGCGGTAATAGGTCGACGGCGAATATAAAGGGGACTGAAGTGGTCATTTCAGGCCCCCATGCCTTCGTCAGTCAGCCATATCTGGACCCCACGTCAGAAAGACCTGCAATTCTGACCCAAGGGCTCGACGGAAGTTCCCACAGTTCGACCGTCGAAACCGACGATGCTCACCGTGCGCTCCACAGCAAGATAAAGCAGGGACGGTGACTTGCGCTTGAATGAGTTTATGGAGGGAGCAGACTTGCTCAGCGTCTACCACAATCTCTCGTCCTCCCCCAGCTGGGCCCGGTGCCAAGAGAGAGCCAGGAAGACCGGAGGCGGGAGAGGGCGCAGGATGGCGGGGCAGGAAAATCTGGTCTTCATGTAGAACGAGGGTGCGTCGTGTGTGTGAGATAGGCGTAAACTGTCTGTGTAACTGTTCAGCCTCGCCATCGGTGCATGGCGGGCGTCGGAAAAGCGGAAGGAGTGGGTGCTTTGCAAGGCTACTTCAGTGTTAACAAAGATACGCTATAAGTTTATACCCAATCCTTTCCAGGACAGTTGTGGTCTTCATATCCGATGGACGGATTGCAGATCTCCAGTGAAATTTTCCCAAAAGGCGAAACTAGCTTAGGAGACAGCCAAGAACTAAAATGGGTACTAGCGTCCTAAAGGCCTGGTAATTACGCCTCCTTTCGCCCAAGCCTTGGATACTTCTCAGGCGCGGGCAAACCTATCCTTTGCGGGACTAGAAAGAGTTTGCTCAGCTAGGCATCGAAGAGTGGAGCGCACACCAACTTTGTACTAATCAGATAAGAACTTCATACATGCCTTAGCTACTGCCATCCAAAAGCCCGTTCCAGAGGAGCATCAGTTTGACAGCCCAAATAGGCAATCAACAAACAACATGCCCCTCTCCCTCTTCTTGGGGTTCGCTTGCTTGGTACCGGCGTGCATTGGACGCATATAATTTGAACGCTAAAAGAATAAAAAGGGCAGGCGAGTGGCTAAATAATGCTAATAAAAATAAATTACAAACGGGACTGCCCACTCGGAAGGTGTGTACCTCACGGCATGTTTCTCAGGGAGTAGGCGGGCCCCCTCGCCATTCACAATTAGGCCCCCACAGGACGACGACGATGATGATGCTGGTGGTGCAGGCGCCCACTTGTATGTTGACCTTTCGACCATAATCCTCAGGTAGACATACCTTGGACGCGTAGAGATCAGCCAACGCTTCAGGCATTGAATCCATTTCCGGAAGCAGATCCGAACGTCATGTAGGCACGTGGGCTAACGACGACGATGATGCTGGTGATACGCGCCCCCACTTGTATGTTGACCTTCCGACCATAACTTTTACGTACAGTAGGTGGACTAACTCATGAAATGTCAACCGAAATTTCGAAATGCGTTCTCGTTTCGAAAAGATTAACTAAGTAGGGTTGTAAAACTAGTCAGCCTGCAGCGTAATTCTACAGTGACCCAGTTACCTCAGTGTGCCTTCTTTCGAACGAACTTACTTCCGACCTCATGCAGGAACTATAATATTAAAATGA